TCTGGTCCAGACTCGGTTATTTACAGACCACCGCCATATAGCTAGAATATTGCTGAGTGCTGTGTAAAACTAAACTCACTCACTCACTTAATCTGACTGAAACTTTAACTTAAGCATCTGCATACAAACACATATTGATTAAGTCAATGTATTTTCTCATCGTGTGCTTTCAGTGTTGAAATTACACGTTGCATCGTGTTTATCATAGTTCATATGTTTGATTTGATGCGATTTTTTCTGTTTTCACTTTTTGTGTGTCTATGTGCTTTTTAATCGCCCTCGTCAGGTTTAGATTGAATCATTATATTTATCCTGCTGTTTTACTGAGAGTTTTTAATGATGATATTTTTTTCACCTTGACATTTGGTCTACACAGATACAAGGCACACACGCACGCACTCACACACACACACACACACACACACACACACACACACACACACACACACACACACACACACACACACACACACACACACACACACACACACATGCATACATACACAACACTTACCTGTACCCCTGTAGCGTGTTTCTGGAGTAATGTTTGTGTGAAACATTCCACTAACTACAAATGGAATCTTTTTGTCTTCTTTATCAAGTTGATATGATCATACGTATGTATCACGGTTCGTTATTATAGCAGTGTTTGCCCTCCAAAGATAAACATGTTATAATCATAAATAACCGTCCGATCGATTCACGTTGTACAAGCAAGTTAACGAAGTAAAATATCGACATGGGAAATAAACAGATCCAGTTCAAAGGCTTCAATAGATCCAAATGTTGGTTGTTAACGACAACACTGATGGGAGCAGAGAAAGTCGGATTCAGACGGAGGTTTCCGATGACGCACTGGGACAAAAGCGTCAACAAGAGTACAAGTGTTTCCAGGGCAGAGGGAAAGTCTTCGCCGCATTGTAAGTTGGAACAGTTTCGATTAATTGTTGCTTTTCTGGTAAACGTAGTATTTGTTATCGCGATTTATAAAAACACCGTGCTTAGATTCTACTTATTTATGAAATTTAATATTGTTCACATATACACTGAAACTAAGTCAGGGAAGATGCTAACGTCACTTGCAGTATCGTCCGTATAAACCCATGTCCGGAATAATGAATGACTTATGGATGTGGGAAGGTTTTTTCGCTTCTATTTTCTTTTTGATCCTAAATCACGAATTTCATTTTCAATATGCGTTTCTCAATCACAGAATCTGAGATTCACTGAATGTTTCTGAATCATTGAAACTTAGTTTCGATAAATCACGGAACCTAATTTCAGTAAATTACGGAATCTGAGATTCACTGAATGTTTCTGAATCACTGAGACTTAGTTTCGATAAATCACAGAAACTGAGTTTCAGTAAATTACGGAATCTGAGATTCATTGAATGTCTGAATTACTGACACTTAGTTTCGATAAATCACAGAAACTGAGTTTCAGTAAATCACGGAATCTGAGATTCATTGAATGTTCCTACACCACTAAAACTTAGTTTTGTACGGAAACTTTGTTTCTATGTACCTATTATGAATATTTTAGCTAAAGTGGTTGAGGTGTGTTAGATCCGACAATTGGTTGTGCAGAGTTGCCCCCCTTTGCACGCCAGAAACCAATGATCGTATTCGAATGACAATCCCCCGATCATGTGTCTAGGTTTGACGTCACCATAATGCGGAAGAGCTTACTCACTCACTCATTCGAAAATATGCAGGGATATGTGCACTAGAATAATGGAAGGATGTAATTTTATATTTTGGAAGTAAAGGAATGTTAGTGAGTGAGTGATTCAGGCGGGATTTACGCTGTTTTTGCAATATGGATGCTCATGCTGTTGATCACTGGATTGTCTGGTCCAGACTTGATTATTTACAGACCGCCGCCATATAGGCTATATTGGAATATTGCTGAGTGCGGCGTGAAACTAAACTGACTCACTCACTCACTCACCTTTTGCAATATCACGGCAGGGACACCAGAAATTGGCTTCACATTATTATACGATATTTCTATAGCGCACATATCCAGGCAACTAAAGTACTGTCGGAAATACAAAAAAACTGTTTTTAGGCTCTTACTCTGTATCCCTAAAATTTACACAACTGCAAATAGCATATGTCGAAATAACCCACTTCGGCCTAACTTGGCATTCAGTGGGATGCGTAATAGGATATCCAGAAAAGCATGTTTACTCGTAAAATCGGGCAAAACTTAGAAAAATACGAATAGCTGCTGAAAACAATATATCAGACTATTGATGGCAATTAGGTCACTCAGCCAGGTATGACGACGGACCGTCGACACACCTGGCATGAAATGCATGTGCTGCCTACAGGCGCCCAAGGGATAATCTCAAAGATATTTTGTGACTTTTCATGTGTGTTGACTATGCCTCATCTATTGATTAACTAACAGCTTAAGTGTCTTTCTTTCATAAAGTTTATGTTGAGATATGTAAAAGAGTTTGATACCTGATAACCATAGAAACGCATCGTATTAAATGTCTCAAAATATATAGGTGGCATGACCACCCGATCGCGAAGATCGACAGGACTGGATATTATTTGTAAATTGTTATGACATGCCATGTACTTCCCCAGTATAATTGCCCTAAAGGATAATCGTATCTTAGCTGATATCTCTATCCCCAAGCCCGACCCCAACGATCGTCATGTGACACCCGTCCAGGTTTTGCTTTTGAGACGAACCCTCCTATCTGTTTCTTTGATAGTGACAGTGAGAATCCATGGTGGCTACATCCTTAAAAGTTTCAGCATGAAAGTTATTATTTTTACGAGCTATCGTTTATAATTTCACATTGGTAAACTGAAAATTTTATGCATATCAATTGACATAAATTGTAGAGATAACTGAGAAAATACAGTTTTTTCTATTTCCGACAGTACTATAGTGCTTGCTCAAGTATTTTTCCCTCGATCATAAGATGTCAATCTCAACGGCTCAATGTGTTATCAATCTCAACTCCTTGGGGAGTATACAAATCTTGCAGCCACTAGGCGCACCGAGTTATTGTGGCTTTCTCATCCTAACGAGGTACCCATTCACACTGGGTGGACTGTGACACATAGTCACAGTACTTTGTTCAGTTCACATGCACGTTGCTGTACCCGCAACTAGGTGTTTGCGCGTATCCAGATGTGGCTACCATCTGGTCATATACCAACGGATTCGTGGGTTCTTTAAGTGCACAGGGTTGTGTACTGTACTCTAGGGGTTGTGACAACACTGAAAGAGTCTGCACACAAAGGTTGACTCCAAGGTTTTACACCCGGTCACATGTGGGCTCGATCCCACAACCTCAACCTCGCTGGATCACTATCCTGGCACCTTAGCCAGCTCGCCCACCCCGCCCCATTGTATCCATGAGGGGCATCGAACTGGGCCTTCGGCATGACGAGTGAATACTTTAACCACTAGGCTACCCCACCGCCCCAAATTCATTAGGTGCATAATATAGTATTTGAGAAAAATCAGTGTGTAAGCAATTAATCTGAAATGGATCTCTTATGTTAAAGCTTGATGTAATATACTTTTGAGTTAATAAATCGCGTCTCTAAATGTTCAGTGAAATGTAAGAATAAATTGAACATTTATGTAATAAAGACAATTACCATGCGTTTCTTATTTAAGACAAGTTCCCAGAGAACAAAAAGAATTAAGAATCGTACCAACTGGTAGCCTTTCCTCACCCAATAAGATACGGTTTGTGAAAACGAATCCCTTGCATTTTATAGCTTTATGGTGTAGTCACAGGGTCCACGAAGACAATAAAAGCCGTGTCAGCTGTTTCACTGTCAGAAACAGTAAAAAGAGCAAAGACCATCATTTGGTAGCATTAATCAATGGTTGTGTAAACGAATCGGTTTTATTTTATGTCTCATTGGGGTGTTTACAGGGTACTGAAGACATCATGAAGCCAATGTCAGCTGTAATCTTACTCAGGCTTCACTGTTTGAGAAATATCTGAGATGCTCAAAACTGTGTCCTCCAGTGATCAAATAATAGGTGACATTTTAGAACTTTACAACAATGTTTCTACTAGCCTGTGCGGCAGTGTCCTTTGCTGGTCACCTGTGAGGATCTGGGTTATAATTGGTCTTCAGCAACAAAAACTTGTCGTAAGAGGCGATAGGGTGGTCAGACTCGATGATTTGGTTTACACATATTTCATATTCCAATTGCTTAGATTTGACCAATATACAAAGTCAGCAATCTAACCCACTCATCCATCGCGGTCTTCCATCTTCCACCTTGAAAATTCTCTCTTTAGATTTATGTTGTGTCAGTATTTGACATATAGGTTAATGGTGGCGACAGTAGTCCAAGAGGTCGCAAATCGCGGTTAAGAACCCTGTCGGTAGGTTCGCATCCACGATTTGCCAAGTTTATGTACAAGTCAAAACATTGATTACACAACAGTCTCGTTTCCTGTTGACTGGGTTCCGTCCTATTGCGCAACTTAGTACAATAACCAGTCCAGAATTTTGAGACCAATTCATTTAACTGCATACATAAATATTAATCAGTATTATTTGATACATCTAAGCACTTGTATATTGCAACACTTCGCTCCAGACCCAGTATAGCAGTGTAACGAATAATACTGAGTCTAAGTTTACTTAGACTGAAGCAACATGTGCTTGATACTGATTGGTCCAAGGCAGGGAAGTGTTGAGATGACCCACGAATTAAACCAAATACTTATTTTTGAAAGCAGCGTAAAATGCTGATTTTCTTCGGCAGAACTGTGAGCTAAAAATTTATCCTTATATATGTTAAGTAAGACACATGCAGAAACATTAGTTGAAATATGGTGTACTAAAACCATACAATTGTTTTCAAGAGCAATTAACACAGGATTCCATAAAATCGATGTAGCAGTGTCGCCTGGGATACAATTAACATGGGATTTAAACGTTAAATCTTATTCTTGTAGCTGACGTACGACGCCCTCTTAAACGGAGCAGCAGCTTTGGTAACGATCGATCTTTGGAGAGTATAGTCCACTTTATAATCACCTTACCGAACAGGTATTCAACATAAACCAAAAGGTGTATCGAGTCTTAGAGCGCGGTCTTACATAGGATCAGAGTCTTCGTTGGAGGTAAGAATGACTTTATCTTGGGTCCTGTCTGTAGGTGGTAGCAAACTGAAAGCAGTGAAAGTGGTTTTGATATATCATATCTCTCTATAGCACCTTGCACAGATACGACATGATGTCAGGTAAAATCCAATCAAATAGTTATTGCATGTAAGGCCTCCGGCCCATATATAAAGGAGTTACATATAAGTTTGGATATACACTAATCTTTAACAATTTGTTTCTTAGGAAATTGCATTTTAACATATATAGCTAGTATTAATATAACAGCTTCGTCTTTGAAGAGAGAAGAGAAATAAAAACAGATACAGGATAATTTGACAGATATCCTTTTGGTATATATGCACTTGTTTCGTAGATCACAATAAAATGGACATACAAAAGTAAAATGAATTTCATTTTCAATAGCTGAATGAATATAATGGCCACAAGTCCTACGATCTTTCAATGGACATTTTGTCTTCCTTCAATAATCATAAGATCTAACAATCGAATAAATGTACGTAAAGGGATTCTGATGTTAACATCGACAAGTATTCTGGTTGAAAAGTTCTATACAAGTGATACCTTGAACTATTTTCTAGAGTGGAATGCCAGGTATAACATATTTATAGATCGTTGACGAAATTGTTTCAAAAAGAGTTTAACATCACCAACCATACAAAGCCGAATCCATGAGAAAACAAAGGCCATTAACCCAGCTAACATCGCGTAACTGGACCAATATACTGCCCCAGTAAATTCAGAAATTCAAGCTCATTTAAGGCGTGTACTATTTTGCACATTGGCGTTGAAATGGGGCAATACAAGCAAAGTAGTATGGCCCAATACACAGCCGTAATGGTTGCAAATTGACCCTTCACAGTTTGACCGGCACTGGCCCGGTTAAGTTTAAAACAGTTTCTACTATTAAAGCAAGCAGATACCAAAACAAACTCCAGAAAAACACACCAGAAACACAAGTTTATCCATATAAGTTTATTTCAGGAAACAAGATGAAAAATGATGCATCCTTCTTTCGTTGATTCAGAGTTCCTTGCCCTTCTGGATGAGCTGGTTCAACAGAAGTTTCCAAATTCAATTCACCTTTGAAGTATTCTCTCTTTTGAAGTATTTTTAAATTTTCATTTACTTTTGATTCAATCTTTCGGCGTTTTATCAAACAGTACTATAATCTGGGCCATACATTGAATTTATGTTTTGAATGAGGGCATGTCAACAGATTTTCCGTGAACATGACATACATACACTCTTTAGCAGGTTTTAAATTGAAAATTCAAAGTAAAATAAATGCAGCCCCGTCATTCTTTTGGTCTGGTACAAGAAAACTTAACATTATTCACACAAAACTGAGGTACAATACACGTCCGCTTAATTACGATTTATTTGAATGATTTTAAGATCAGATGCTTCTTGTACTTATGGTCGCCTTGTGAAAATTCATGGCATTATCTGTTTAGAATGTTCTTTGTATACAAAGCAGCGTAAAGATTTGTTTGTAAATGTAAATGATGTCGTTAAGCATAGTATACATATTAATCTAGATTTATTGTTATTGTCACTATATGAAAATGAATTATTATTGGAACATGTACATAGATATATTAAGCTCGCTGAAAGATTTTTTGTAGTTTTATCCTTGTATTTACTATACACATCATCTTTAAAGATCTTGTAAATTCACTCAACAAATCCCTTATCAAATGTTTTATACTTTAAATATGAAATATGTAACTTCTGGGAGAGGACGTTCCTAAGTTGGATAACTTGTGCCCAATCCATTTCTTTTTGAATAAAATATGTTTAAAACACATACATGCAATGTTTCAAAATGCTCTTTTCCCAGCGAAATTCATGCTGCATGTTATTGTTAAATATTTAGCTCAACACTTAACCTTAGTTGAAAAAGAAGTCTCTGTAAGCGATTCACAACAAATACCGTTACTTTTAGTGACACTTTAAGTCAATTTACATTCAGAAATGTAGAAAATATCACACTCAACCTTTTGGCCCACCTCTCTTGGTCCTGAGATAATCTTCCACAATTCACCAGACAGGAAGTGCACTGCCTGTACTGGGCCAGTACTTGCCAGTACAGTATTGCGGTGCAGTATTTACAGTAACCACCCATATGTGGTTCTCTACAGTTTTGCCTGTAACAGGCCTCTAACGGAAAACAGGCATTGGTCCAGTACTGGCTCTATACTGTCGTACATTATGCCAGTACCAACGGTACAGACCAGAACGATGCCAGTACTGGCCCAGTTACATGATGTTAGCTGCAAAGAGAAAGACAACTGGGATCATGGTGGAATCTAAATTGTTGCCCACATCTCTGGGTAACAGGAAATTTTGAATTGATAATGCACATTATTTGATTCCTTGCCTGTTGCTCCTGATGGTTGGAATAACAACTTGATTGTAACATTGTCTGAAAAGGGCAACATAAAGATGGAAAATAACTACAGAGATACCCTTTAAGTACTTTCAGTAAACTGCATCGATCCATACTCAACAAAAAGTACTTTTGGGCCGTATCATGCGAGAAGATTTGTCAGGCTGATTTTATGAATAATAGATATGTTTATATGAACACTACCAGTCATGGAAGCAGAGTAAATAGGGTGCAATAGAAATAAGCATTTGATCTGTCAAATTATAGTTTATTAAAACTGCATTACCCTCAAACTGTTTCCATAAATAATTGACATTTTTGAACATTGACTTGGCCTTTTATCTGAAGCTTTATTTCCGCTTTTGCTAGAGCATGTTTCGCCCGTGTCTGATGTCCATTTTAATGAATATCTGAGTGGGATCCAATATGTGCCCACCTTGATTACATATGTTTGTGTAGAAGATCAAAGACAACACTTGGTCAGTTTCAGTTCCTGCCGCTGATGGCTTGAAGTGAAACTGTTTCCATCAATAACTGCCTATCAGACGAATTCAACTGCCTACCTGGACCAAGGGAAGGGTGTGTGCTTACACCATGACTATTTTCAACTTCTATTAATGAAATAGCAATACGTTGAATCGTCATATATACCTGATATACAGCTACACCCTGACATAGTACAACTACTGTTTCTCCCTGTACTCCCATTACTCGCCAATACTATTGTACCTTTTGCCCATAATATTAATAATAATTCACTTATATAGCGCCTAGTATCCATCTGACTAGTTGCTCACTGGACGCTGTTATCAGAATCTGATAATTATTACCCCGGATAACCCAAGCTGCCTGTGAGGCGCTAGAAGGTTATTTTGTGACATGACTTATCTCACCCGGTACCCATTTTCTGCTGTTTGAGGCAATTTTGAACAAACGCACTTGCCTAATTTGCTAACACTGCTTATAGACAGCAAAACGTATCACCACACATTTTTTTAAATCATTATATAACTGTCCAGCTGAACAATACCAGAATTGTTGTACTTAAAATGAAGGAATATTTTGTAAACATGAAATATGTTACCATTTATAAATATCAATGCGTCTTATTATGCTCAAGTTTTCATGTGAGGAATACTATCTCACTAGCCAAAAAAAAATACTTGGTGGTGTTCTTCAAACATGTTCAAGCCATATCTATATTTTTATTGCATTTTAATATTTTATGCTATACCCAGCACAATTGTACTGTACGGTTTGAAAATATGGGAGTTGAAAACCATGAAGAACTTTTTAAAAACTGCAACTGGGGACCCAACCTACGTTTTATGAACATTGCATCCGTAAATATGGCTTTGAATTGAAGACGTTATTATCAACACTGAAATGAAGAAAACTATGTGTTTGGGTTCTTTCCTGTTTCGTCAACTTTGTGGAATTTGGGTCAACGTTTGTGGAGCCACCTGCCTGTCTAATTTGCGTCCTATTGGGCTTGCCATTTTTTGGACATTGACTTGGCCTTTTATCTCTGTTATTTCCGCTTTTGCTAGAGCATGTTTCGCCCGTGTCTGCTTGTCCATTTTCATGAATATCTGAGTAAGATCCAATATGTGCCCACCTTGATTAGATATGTTTGTTTAGAATATCATTGACAACCCTTGGTCCAGAGTTTCAGTTCCTGCCGCTGATGGCTTGAAGTGCACTTAGCAAGTCTGTCCGGCTGTCCCTGTATCAGGTTGAGTGACTTACCCTGATAGTTCAGCAGTGAATTCTGATTAACCTGAACGTAGGCGGATCCTCTGTGTTTGGCCTTTGGAACTGTGCACACGGATCCCGTAATCAGTAATGTTGTGGCCTGGATTCTTGGATCCTTCACTGTATACACTGGCCTGTATTCCACAGGAAGTTTAAATATAAGTGACAGCTGTTGATCATGAATAGTAGGCTTGGGTTTTATTGAAACTTTATTGAAACAGAGTCAGCTGTTGGGGTATTTTAAGTATAAATCTGGTGCAAACTATGTTTATGACTTTTTGTTCGCTGGAATGATCATGGCATCACAATTGGGACTTCACATGAGAAGACATGCCATTTTCGTGGTGTGTTTTGGTCATATTGAGAAACAAGGAGTAGTATCCTCGTACATAGACCCGCGGAACAGGGTCTCCAGAGATGTGTCTGGAGCGTGTGGTCAAATCTGTACATTGTTCTGGCAGCTGAATGTCATCACAATTGGGACTTCACATGAGTACATTTGTCAATGTCTCCTGAGGCCCTAGTGAAAGATTTTCGAGGTATAGTTTCATTATGGAGGCATTTTCCTTCTTGTATATACAGCATGGGCTGGTGTAAAGGAAACCTGATTGAAGCTAAGTTGAAAACCATCAAACTACAACTTGTCAGTTTTTCCACGAACCTTTGTGACGAACATCTTCAATTTCACGAACCTCATGCACTATCAAATCAAATTTCAAACATCTTTTATAATTGGACACATCTGCATGATAGAGTCATCCTCGATAATCTCCAGGGTATACGTTACGATCACTCTCCACTATATTCTGATGGATCCACGGCTTTTATGATTTTATTACCTCCCTTTGCTGGCTCTTTTATCCAATCAGGTGTCTACGCTGGGAAGTTGAGCGAACCAATCACAACTCACTTTCGCTTCTTAAATTATCTAACCGTTTATATGCTTGGCAAACACGATTGATGCAGAGGTATTCTGAAAGAGGTAGAAGGAGTCCTTTTCATATATGTTTTAAAGTTTCAAATCTGTCAATATGTCTGTATGATTTCCCAAACAATCTGAGTGGCACTACGAACAAACCTTCGCGACTGCCACTGCTATCTTTGTTGACACTGGCAAGCTGGGATGTAACGGCGGCTAAGCTGATTGGCTACTGTGAGAATGCGGAGCCAGCAAAGGGAGGTAATAAAATCATCGCGCCCAAACCGTGGATGCATCCAGGGATAGTGGAGAGTGATCGTAACGTATACCCTGGAGATTATCGAGGATGATGTTACGTATTGAATGAAGTTTGCATGTGCCGTCCTGTTGTTGTTTCTACATAAACGTTTCATGTGATATCTGTGTTACGTTTATTTAAAAACACTATCTCTTTAGATTTGTTTCGTCGATTACTGGTCTGACACGTAACTCATACTACAGTTTACAGCACAATCGATCGTGTACTCTTGCCGTTGATCTGTGACGACCAGAAAGTTTTCGTTGTCAACATGTTGGAACTGTTTTACCTGTTCTATTGTCTGCTAATCAGACTGTGCAACGTTAAACGAAACTGCCACTGAACGCGTACTTCTACCAGTTTGTAGAATCGATTTACAGACGCCCCATTGTTAATGTATATACATGTACGCACAAATGTATGATTCGCAGAATCAATACGATTGACGCATTGGTCCATAGAGATGAAACGACCCTCCATGGAAGTGTTAAAAAGCAGGACTCCCTTTAGTGGTATTGTTGCCTCAATATGTTTAATTGTATTTTCCTAAATCTTAACTTTGTAGCCATTATTTGTTTCTACTGGATGCTCATTAAACCATTGCTGACACTGTCCAAAATGGCTCTCAACTAAACGTCTCTTAACCCTGTTTCATTATACGTAACAGTCCAATCGAAACATTTTATTCGACCGATGGTTTACAGTATTTAAATATTTTATTTTATTGTCAGAGCACCAACAATGTTCGAAACACACAGAGAAATGGCACAACAAATATCATGAAATATGTTGACTATAAAGTGAACAAACACATATGGTTTTCCATACAGCCTACAATATTATACTAGAAATCCTGTGGTCTTTACAGGTTGCTGGTGGTCCTGAGCCCGTATTGTGATAGAAATTTGCAGATTCAAATCTTTTTGCATTTAACGTGGTTATTTTCTATCATAATACTTATGATGCTTTGCTAACATTTGGTTTAAACATATGTATTTCCGTAAACCTACACACCGCCTGCATAGGTAAACATGTCTTGCTACTTGTATAAACACCTCTCCAGCAATGCACACAATAACAAATGAGAATCCTGCGGTTTCTAAGGATTTCCAGAGTTGAGGTTACCTCCCATGAAATACAAGTTTGGAATTTCATTTAATGGTGCTGCTTGTGGCCATAATGAGAAACAATCAAGACCAGAAGGAACGAGAAGGGTCTTCAGGGGAGTGAGTGAGTGAGTGAGTGAGTGATTTTAGTTTTACTCCGCACTCCAGCAATATTCATGCTATATGGCGGCTGTCTGTAAATAATCGAGTCTGGGCCAGACAATCCAGTGATCAGCAGCATGAGCATCGACCTGCGCAATCGGGAACCGATGACATGTGTCAACCAAGTCAGCGAGCCTGACCACCCGATCCCGTTAGTCGCCTATTACGACAAGCATGGGTTGCTGAAGATCAATTCTAACCCGGACCTTCACGGGTGGTCTTCAGCGGAACAAGAAGGGTCTTCAGAGGTGTGTCTGTCGCACTGCATCCTAGTCTAAGGCGAGTGAGATTTGATTTGACATATTCAGTCGTCCATGGCAGGTCGAAATGCCGTCTACAATCATCGATGTTATGACTAATTGGTTTGGAAGACCATGTGGATCCTGTAGTCAAGTCTATGAATTGTTCCATGTGTTACCGGCAGTTGGCAATACATGATTTGACATACTTCTGCAATTGATAACTTATAAGTTGGAAGTAACCCAACTAAATACTTTTAAGTAGAAACACAAAGGGAGTGAAATCAGAAATATAATCGGGAGTTACAAAATGTACCTAAGGTACCATTTCGTGGCAGTTCATAACGTCTAGTGTTTCACCTTTGCCCTATGGATTTAAGTTTGATTACTTCAATTATTGTATATATCTATTACCACAAATTGTTCTTAAAGCATCTAGGTGAATATGTTTTTAAATATTTGACTTTAATTTATAGTACATTTACTATAAGATAAATGATTTGTATATAATACAGAGAAATGTATATATGTTCTCTTCACTGTATCATTGAAATTTGACGATGTTGCGTTATATTTTGACCCGCTCTTATAGCGATATACTACTTAACATGACTTTTCTCTTTTCCTTCCAACTCGAACCTAAAACGTACCGCCGCCTCGTCATATAAAATGTTTATCTTTTAAACAGTCGCTGCCACATGTCCAAAGAACGCGAGAAATTGTAATAAGAATTACATTAAATGAGAATCAAGAACATTATTCAGATAATTTTGTCTTTATTAAAAAAATCTTTGGCTTTTTTACCCGACCGACCGTTTTGAATTTGCTGGCTACTTTAAACACGTAAAAATATGATCTTATTTTTGATATAAAAAAAACAACACATGTAAGGATTTGCATCAGACATCATTCCTGATTTCCGGTTTAAGACAGTATTCACTCACTACGCGGAAGAGCGTGATTATGTTTGTTCAAGATAAATTATTTTGTTTTGTTTTTACAGGATGATGGTAAAATACATTCCAACCAATCATGGTCAGTTGATCATAGCGTCTCTGCTGGTCTTCGATACAATCGTTGTTTATACCAGTATGGACATGGCGCACTTCATTGGATTACCCGGGTGTAGCCTCCAAGTGGTATATCCCATCGACCCCTTCCAGTCCACTACTACACGAACGCCGTCGAGTGCGCAATGATATGCGCACGTACATACGGGTGCTTCTCTGTCAACGCGTGCAAGAGGGATGACGGTGCAGTGACGTGCGACATTCTTGGCGACGTGTCCAGCTCAGGATGTAGTGGGATGACTTCAAAGAACGGATGTAGACATTTACAACGCAAAGATGCTTTGGTATATGACTTCATATATTGATGATATATATGTTAAAATAAGCGTCGTTTGTGTTGGTTGTTGTCAAGCGAGTCGTATTGTGTTCACATAACGGGTAGTCAAAATGACGTGGCAGGAATATATACAGTGAAACACGTGTCGCTACTTCGTTGAAACATACGAGAGAAGGAGGCATCGTCCCCACGAAGCTATACCTGTCGTTCCCAGCAACCTATGCCTGTCGTCCTCGTCTGTATTCCCCATCAACCTATGCCTGGCGTCCCCACCAACATATGCCTGCCGACCTCAGCCTGACGGCCCAACCAACCAATACCTGGCGTCCCCACCAACCTATGCCTGACGTCCCCACAACCTATACCTATCGTCCCCAGCCTGACGTCCCCACCAACCTATGCTTGACATCCCGTCTGATGTCCCCACCAACCTATGCCTGCCGTCCCCGTCTGATGTCCCCACCAACGTATGTCTGTCGTCCAAAGCAAACCTATACCTTTCTTTTCCAGCAATCTTTGCCTGTCATACGACGCGGCTAAAGAAATCACGGTCAGCCTCTGTGACTTGGTCGTTTGCAAGACATCACATTCCAATGATCACTGGAATGCCTTGTCCAGACTTGATTGATTAAAGGCGACGAAATAAATCTGCAAACTGCTGAGTAAACCGTTATAATCTAGTGACCTACCCGTGAATGTCCGGGTTAGAATATTGATCTTCAGTAACCCATGCTTTTCGTAAGAGGCGAATAACGGGATCGAATGGTCAGGCTCGCTGACTTGGTGGACACATGTCATTGGTTCCCAATTGCGCAGATCGATGCTCATGCTGTTGATTACTGGATTGTCTGGTCCAGACTCGATTATTAACAAACCGCCGCCATATAGCTGAAATATTGCTGAGTGCGGCGTAAAACTAAACTCACTCACACACTGACTATAATCTAGTGACCTAGGGTTGTACGCCCAACCGACCGTGCCCGCTGCATTGCTTACAGATGTTGTAATTACCCTGAATTCTGTAGACATGTAATGGGTGTTCATGTTCCTTAACTCTTAATCTTCAGAGAGCCTTGAATCCATGTAAAATGGCGGTACTTGACTGGAACCATCTGCATCTGTATTCCTGGATATGCAGGACAGTACTGTGGCAGATATATTTACAGTAAGTATTGATAGCGTACTGTTTGTAGCAATGAAATACACCTGTGAGATCCGGGCTAGAATGGATCCTCAGCAACCTATGCTTGTCGTACGAGGCGACTAATGGGATCAGGTGGACAGGCTTGCTGACACATGTTATCGTATCCTGATTGCGTAGATCGATGTTAATAGATTGTCGGGTCCAAACACGATTATTTTGTGTATTATTTCGAATCATGTAGCTGAAATATTGCTGAATACAGCGTTGGAAAACAGACAAACAGCAGTGTAAGAACTATTAAGCAGTGTTTAAAACTCCCAAATACTTTACTGTTCGTAGGCATCGCAATGAACTACATAGCACTAACAGGCAATGCACAGAGTTTAGGTAAACTGAAAGTACAGGTGTTGTGATTGGTTATTGTAAAATGAACTGTTCAATCGTAAATAGTGTAACATTATTATCATAATAGTATTACCTTAAACACCTGAAACTGACGACAAGAGAACCTGTCTGAGGTTATGAAATACTTACTGTTAGGGGTAAAAACATCTACCAGACCACCGGACAGGCTACTTTTGAAATTTGACCGTCCGAGATGAAAATAGACCGTTCCGGACGGTCGGGCAGGCAGGAAGTGATCTGAGATGAAAATAGACCGTTCCGGACGGTCGGGCAGGCAGGAAGTGATCCGAGATGAAAAAGACCGTTCCGGACGGTCGGGCAGGCAGGAAGTGATTACAAAGCAGGAACAAGTTGACGAGTGAATGTTAGTCTAGTGCTGGACGACATTGATGAGAAAAGGTCAACACGTACATGGTACAAAAATTCACATCTGTGTCGAATATGAATAAAATTCAAGTGTATTCTGATGCAGACAGAGCTTTCTCTTTAAGATGACACGTTGTATCACCACTATTGGAAAGTGAGTCAGTGAGCTGGGTTTTACGCCGCTTTTTAGCAATGTTACAGCAATATCACGGTGGGGACACCAGAAATGGGCGTCACACATTGTACCCATGTGGGGAATCGAACCTGGCCTTCGGCGTGACGAGCGAACGCTTTAACCATTAGGCCACCCCACCGCCCCTATTGAAAGTGATTCATAAGCATATCCTCATGGTATAGTTGGACGCGTCTTCCAGCAAAGATTCCCAATTATTTTAAAGATGTTTTGGGGTTTTAAATTATAATTTTGACAGTAAATGACGGTGGTATAACAATTCCTTTATATGACGGGGTTGGGGCACAAAAATGCCTCTTCTTTAAATCTCACATTGAAGTGACTGTCTATTGTGTGGCATACGCTATACTGCAGATGTATGAATACCTTATACAGTTAAGCAACGACAGTTTCATGGATGACTTGCCTCTTCGTGTATTTTGTAACGGGAGTCAAAAGGTTTGGAAGGATACGCTGACCTTATCGTGACCACTTTTGACTATTGATTCATATACACATGCTTACGATTCGGACTAGACCCGTGAAGTTCCGGGTGAGAACTGGTCTTTAGTAACCCATGATTGTCGTAATAGGCGAGTAACGGGATCGGGTGGTCAGGCTCTCTGACTCTGGTTGACACGTGTCATCGTATTCCCAATTGATCGATGCTCATGCTGTTGGTCACTGGATTGTCTAGTCTAGACTCAAGCATTTACAGACCACCGCCAAAAAGCTGTAATATTGCGGCGTAAAAACTAAACTCACACGCTCACTCACACTCACGATTCAGACTAAATCTTTCAACGGTAGAACTGCTTTGTAGCTTTGATGTGCAGAAAATACAACAAAGTTCAGTAGACATCATATATCATTATTCCAGGCTGCAAAGAGGGTACAGAGCCTTCCAGGCGTGACGGGCACTGGGTTCTATAAAGTGCAGCCGGCAACCTCTCCTGTCGCCTTCACCGTGTACTGTAACTGTAACGCGGGGGGCGGTGTGGGTGTTCAGGAGGGACAACCCTGTCCCATCCTGGTGCCCCGGCATCAGCTACAACAGGACGTGGGAGGAGTACAAACACGGCTTCGGCGACGTCAACTGCGAGTACTTCCGGACTGGAGACCATCTACCAACTCAACGTCTACAACCAATACCAGTGGAACATCTACAACGTTGTAGAAGGGACTCCTACTGTTGCCAGTGTGTACTTTGGAAAGTACAACGTTGACAACGGAGGCAACTGACTATCAGATTAATCTCCTCCGCGTCTTTTCCAGAGACTATGAGTGGGGGGATGATGCCTTTGATGACAGTGACAAGCCGCGGAGATTCTGTACCTGGGACAAGGACTGCTGGGGGTGCGCCAAGACGGTGGGAGGGGGGTGGTGGTTCAAGTCCGACTGTACAGGGGGAGCTTTAACTGCTCCTCTGGATCAGCTGAAGTGGCCTGTTCGTGGCGTGGACAAGGTCATAGGCCAGGCATTTCTGCAGCTGGATCAAATGGACTTGGCTCCATAATACAACCTGACAACATTGAATACACACAGCCTTTCAGAAAGTGGTCATATGTAATGAGTTATATTTGGAATTACACTTTCTCAGTAAAGATTCTAAGGATGGAGTCCCATCCGGGATTCAAACCCACTGAGAGTAAGACACTGAGAAAGTGTAATTCTAAATTTGTTTACATTTTACCACTTTCGAAATGACATTTTGTATTCATATCTTTTGTACGATGGCAGCCGTGCAATTTTCACTCATCAGAGGGGTACACAAACTACGTGATCTGGACTACCAGTTTTCAGACTTCTATTCTCGTGTAAGCCGCGATGGCTGAGTGGGTTAGATCGCTGACTTTGTGTGCTGGTGATTAGATGCCTGACTCTGAGTGTGTGGGTTCGAACCTCGGGTGGAACTCAACCCAACACAAGGACTAGAATCTGTACGTTAAAGTCCATTGTACCACGTGTAACTGATATCCAGCTGATATCAATAAGGACACCCCGCTATAGTGATCTGTGGATCTGTATAGAGTTGCGTCACTTAATTGTGACTGACACGCTGAGGTCGGGTTCAAATTTAACAATGCTACCGATCCTTGGTTTTCAGCGAACCAACAGATATGACTGAAATACTGCCGATGTGACGTTACATGTTTTAGCTCTAACTGCTTAGTTTTGGGTTCCTTCCCTTGTTTTCTTTCCGAGGCGGTGAGGAAGCCTAGTAGTTAAAGTGTTCGCTCGTCACGCAGAAGCCCCGAGTTCAATTCCCCACATGGGTACAATGTGTGAAGCCCATTTCTGGTGTGCCCCGCCATGATATTGCTGGAATATTGCTAAAAGCGGCGTAAAACCATACTCACTCACTCACTCTTGTTTCTTTCCGGAAAAGGTAGCAAGCGTTTTTAAACAGTACTTCTGAAAAATGAAACTTTACTACCACTCAGGGGGTAGCGTTATGTCTTACATTCTTCAATATCAACCCGTGAATACCGGGTTACCATTGGTGTGTAGCGGCAGCAACCGTGCTTGTTGTGACTAACGGGACTGCTAACGGTATCTCTGGACTTGGCTGGTTCATTTCATTGTCTCCTAACTGCAATGATGTAATTGATGTCATTCACTGGATTGTCTGGTCTAGACTCGATTATTTACCAACGCATATTACCAAGGTCGAATATTGAGGCGTTAAAAACAAGCAAACAAATCAGGAATATTGAGTGTAGCTGTCCTTATTTCACTTCAAAGTTGGCGTTTGGCTATTTGATGTATGGTTTTAATAGAATTGTCATTATCACTCAAATTTTAACACATAATTATATAAATTCTGCGCACAGCACAAAAAGTGTCAATAAAAAGTTTCATAAAAATTCTTGTTGTTCACAAAAAAACACTCACTCACTCACTCACTCACTCCACTCACTCACTCACTCACTCACTAAAGGTGCTAGTTCACCGACATCTTTACTGAACATTCTAAAAGACATGATAATTTATATTTTGTGGGATATGTTCACGTGTAGCCAGTCTTGACTACATAAACTATTACCAAAATTCATTACCGTTTTTTTCTTCCTCAATATTCTTCCGGTGAAACTCAAATAATATACTTAAAAACAAAAGGCATTGTGACTCACAGACTACAAACACAATCGGTAATAAGCTTTAACTGCCGCGAATGAAATATTTTAATATGGAAAGACAAAAGTATAATATTATGGTAACGGTCAACAGTCCATAAGAACATGGGTAGATATCACATGTATATGACCTATAACACAAGATGGGGGTCACAAGTTCACACGGTCAGTAGCGAGTGTGTCCATCTTGTGCATTGATGCAGGCCAGGCACCTTCGCCTCTTTGAGGCCAAAATGAAAGTCCCGAGGAAGAACATTCTATGTCCAAAGGAAGCTCCTGCAGCGCTGTTGGAGGATTCGGATGACGTCGTAAACATCGCTCTGTTTCATCACAGACATGAAAATCTTGGATCTTGTGGGCCAGAGCAACATCTGATTAAGATCCAGACTAGCTATTCTCGAAACGTTCGTAGCCCTACGAACTTCTTAAGCCCATTCTTAACACGCTGGCTGAGATCAAAGTTACGAACCTCTTAGGGCTACGAACATTTTCGAGAATAAGGGCCCTGGGTCCCGATACACAAAACGTTCGTAGTGCTACGACATTTGTAAGCCTATGATAAACTAAAGAGTTACGACGAGGTCGTAACGTTACGAACACTTTGTAGATCGAGAACCTGCTGTATAACTCGAGCAACTCGATCTGGATTTATCTTGTTGAACGACACTCCAGGACCTTTCTGTTGCAAAACCGAGATAGTGGCTTTTGCAACATGTAGTGTCGATACCTTACAATCACCAACGTCCTTACTGTTTCTGTTTCCCATCACAGACCCAGAACGCATGACACGTGTCCTGCGGTCAGGGCGATGGGCTAGCATAGTGGTTAAAGCGTTCGCTCGTCACGCCGAACACCCGGGTTCCAT